TATACTGAAATGTACATTTACAGGAAAAATGAGATAAAATATTATACAATGCTATTACGACGTTTTAAAATTAAAAACAGGAATTTTCCTAATTCATTCAATTCCTTAATGTTTTGAGTAGTAAATAACTGAATCAATTTGAAAACACTTGGTCGATTGTAATAAAAAGGCTTAATAAACTCGCGCCTTAAGTCGTTATAAAAGTTACACTTTAATATAAACTGAAATGCATCTTCAATATCATTAGAGTTACATAAGTTACAGAATCTTTGTTCTCTAGGAAGGTGTCTATATCTTCCCTGTTCGATATTTAAATTGCTAGCTAAAGTCTTTTTATATGAGTTATTAATTGGTTTTATTAAATATGATTGGACAGAAAAATTATGTATTATATGTTGATAAAGGAATCCTTTCGGAGTTGTTTGTATATTAGTTAATATATCCTGCCGGTAAAAGTAAAAAAGTCTTTGCTCAATGATTGTATAGATATTTCTATCATTGCCTACATTTTCACAAAGGTAAGTGAATCCCAATTTGTTGAGTTCAGTGCGGATATCTAGAATCCAATTATCCTTTGACAAAATTCTTTCCTCGTAACATGTTTTTAAAATGCAATTATTCCAAGTTTTTAATTTTAACCAACATTTAAAAAAAATCAGTTTTCTACATACAGACAATGGTAATCTTCCTAACTCACAATAAACTAAATTATTACACGTACTCTTCTTGACTCCGAGTAGCCTTTTACAAAAATGTATGTGTGTCTTTTCAACATCAAGAGCTTTATGAAAGCCCCATACTTCTGCACTGTAACTTAAGACGCTAATAATATAAGTGTCGAATACAGAACATTGTGTTTTGATATTAAAATTAGGATTTTTGAACTTATTACAAAGCGCATAATATGCCTTATTACTCTGATCTGCAACATGCTTTTGAGTGACATAAAATGTACCATTGTAGTTAAAGAGCATGCCTAGGTAATTAAACTGGTCGACGACTTGGAGCTCTTTAGTGTCGTAAAACCATTTTTCGTTGTTTCGTAACCCGCCACCATTCCTGAAAACTACTATTTTCGTCTTATCAGTGTTCAAATTGAGTTTGTACTTGTTATTATATGATTTCAGAGCTTCCAGAATATGTTGTAACTTTTTTCGCGTTTCTGCAAATAGCACCGTATATCGTCAGCATACATTAAAAGAAAAATGTTAATTAAATTAATTTCAATAGATGGACAACCTTCTTTTATAAAATGAATTTCACAGTCATTGACGAACATGGAGTATAAAATGGGTGACAAAATTTCCCCCTGAAATAGACCGATTGTATTTGAAAAAAATCTGAATACAAACCATTGTGCTTTACACATGACTTAACTGAACTATACAACGATTGAATTATGCGTAACATTTTCCCTCTAACACCCTGATTAATCAATTTGCACCACATATGCGATCTGTCGATAAAGTCAAAAGCTTTCTTGTAATCAACAAAGCAACAGTAAAGTCTACCACCTTTTTTACTTAAATATCTATTAATTAAAGTCTAATATACAAATATTGCATCAACGGTTGAATGTCCGGGTCTAAAACCAAATTGAGCATCTGTTATTACATTATTTTTAACATCCCTATTCACTAGTCGTTCATTCAATATGGAGGTAAACAACTTCCCCATGCAACTGACTAGAGTAATGCCTCTGTAATTATTTGTATTTTCTATATCGCCTTTCTTATATACGGGGGTGATACTCCCAGTAGACCAAGCTTCAGGGAAAAGCCATAATTGAAAAATATAATTAAAAAGTTTGATTAAATATGGAACAAGTATATCCTTGCAATCAATAAAAAGTTCATTAAGTATTTTGCCCTCACCACAACTTTTATTTCCACTTAACTTATGTATTGCAGAAATAACTTCTTTTTCTGTGATATGGGAGTTGAGTTCTTCAAATACACATGATATATTATTTTCATCTAAAGTTATTTCGCCTATCTCGTTAACTGGATTACCTTGACAACTTAATCTTTAAAATGATTGTAGAATTTGTCAAGAGAAATTTTGTTAGAAACTTTAAATTTTCGTTTCGAAAAGTATTTATAAAAATGTTTCGGGTTGTGTTTTCTAAGATACTCCATCATATCTCCCTCCTGTCGCTGATATTCTCTCTTCAGTCTTAACTCAAATTTCTTATAATCAGTTTTTTTCTCAATTAATATTCTATGATTATCAACAGTTTTAAAATTGTTAAATGTATGTAAGGCATCTTTGTATATCGTATATATCTGCTTACATGGAAGATTAAACCAGGGTTTATCCTCATGCTGAATACTTGTTTTCTTTGAGACATTATCAGTTATAGTTGACTAACATCTATGTACATCAAACATTGGTAAACACATCTCATTTAGAAAAGAACACAGTTTGTCAACACATAATTCGACATCTGACTTGTTTAACAAAGGTGTAACGAGGAGTTCACTTAATACATTGATATTTTGTCTAAGTTTCTGTCTAATGGAGTTTACATTATCATCACTCCACTTTGCATTTTCACACACACATCTAGCGTGAGCTTGATTTCCAGGTAATTCTTCATCAAAATTTATGTCTGATCTCAATTTAAAAGATAAAGGTGAGTGATCAGACATAGTTACAAAATTATCAGACTTAAATTCTTTTACATTTTGAAAATTGTCCCCCTCAACTAAAAGGTAATCGATAAGGCTTGTACCAATAGAACTGAAGAAAGTAACACTTCCATCCGGGTCACCTGAGTGACGTCCGTTCAATATCCTAAAACTAGTAGATTTACACAGAGACAATAACTTTCTTCAAAAAGAGTTTACAGATTTGTCCATGCGCGTCCGCTCAGGAAGATCATACACACTATCAGATTGATAGTCAACAGCATAATTAATACATTACCATCGTTACCCAAGCCATCATTAATTATCATAACAGGTCTGGTACCAGTTCTGGCATTGAAATCTCCAGTTATGTACACTTCACCATTTGATCTATAATTTATAATGGAATCTTGCAAAATTTAAAATAAATCTATTTCTTCTGTGTAATTTTCATAGAAAACACCGTGAAATAACGAAAAGCCATGAAAGGGCACAAACCAGCCACCATACTATTCCCCTGGTCGATATGTTTACCTGAGCAGGTAAACAGAGGTAAAATGACTTGTATAAAGTTGTTATTTGAGTTAAAACTGTCTCTGTGGGCTGGCTCTGTTGTACAGCTGTACGGCTCAGTGCTAATCCGTTGTTACATGATGTATCGGTTACCAAGTTGTATAGGTACAATTGTATGTGTGTATAATACGTTCATGTTTGGATGGTAGATTCTTCTGGTGGATTCTGTAGTCCTCGACGTTTGCATTGATCGCCATAGTGATCTGATTTTAGTAATGTCATGGTTCGTAGTATAATATTAAATTCTGTATGCTTAGACCCATTGACAAAAATTACATTCATAAATGCATAACACAGGTGTTCATAGAATCTCAGCACGTGGGGACTGATAGTAACCTGATCACACTGCGTAGTAATACACTACAAAAACTACTCACTCGGAACGACCGACCTAGATGCTTAATTCTTACATCTTAAAATATTATTGAACTGTGCTTTGTGAAATATCCACGTATTCACGTGTCCTGTGCTACAAATAAACATTGAATATGGAACTACATTTTGTTGTGTTATTGTTGTTGACGGTTGCTAAGATCTCTCACGATAGTGTCACATTTCCCCGCGAAAAAACACTGTTCTCGCCACTGCGTTGCACCCGTGTATAAGCAGGAACAAACCCTGTTTATTTGTTTTATTCGTTGTTATATCGATCCACTGAAAGGATTCGTCAATGTAAATATAAGGAATGATATTTATTTTTTCAACATTTATGAGGTCATAACAACAATGGGTTTTTGGACATATTTTACATGAATCGCTAACGCGATTCATTCAATATGTCCATAAACCCATTGTTGTTATGACCTCATAAATGTTGAAAAAATAAAAAT